CAACGTTGTTGATCTGAGCATGGAAGCAAATGCCATAGCCCTGAAATACCTCAGTGAAAATCAGTTATCCCAACTCTCTCTCAGTCGCTCAGGCCAAAATCCTCCCACAGATTTCTCCTTCCAAGACATCTTGCAAACAAATACGGACAAGAGCATGGTGGGTCTGAGTTTAATTTCACCCAGCAATATGTCCTTTGCAACCAAGAAGTACATGAAGCGATATGGGCTGATACAGGACAATGATAGCAGTGAAGATGAAGAGGAACTGCAGCCTCAAGATGGCAATTTGGGCACTGTCAGAAGCAAAAGCATGCCAGACAAAAACTGTACCCCTGCACTGGACAGCTTCAGCCACCAGACTGAATTGCCCAAAAGAATGGATGGAAGACTTCCCATTCACCTAAAAAGTCACAGCAGAGAGTTGACTACTAATGCTTCCCCACCAGAATTAAACAGCCCTGCATTAAAAAACATTACAAATGAAGTTTTTCCTCCCAGAACGGATCAAGCAGATGAAAATTCTCTTCAGTTCCTAAAGGATTTAAAATCAAAAACCAGATTGTTACCTGGGAGGGTTGAATTCAGTGAACACCCCATCAGGAAAGATGAAGGAGATACTCAGGCCTTTCATGGAAATCTACACACTCCAACTCTTGAAATGCTAAACCAGTCAAACAGCATCAATTCTGTTGGCACCATTCTTGATGTCAAACAACTCAGGCAATTACCAAAGCTGTTCTGAACATCCCTTGAGATGGCTGCAACCACCACTTCAGATCAGAGGGACCTCTCTGTAAAAGACTACAGGAAACCACGGGTTGAGCTCTCTTTGAAGAGGTCACTCTGTTGTAGCAATGTAAAACTTGCAGAACTGAGATTTCAGCCAGCTCAGGGACAGCCACCTCAAAGTGCCTGGCTGAGGCAGTGCTGATCAGCATAGACATATGTGTGCACTTTTGTTTACAGTTAGGTGTGATTTTAAAGCATATTGAAGGTGAATCAACCTGAGCCCAAGATGTACTTTTAATACAATTTTAACAGTGGTGATTACTTAAGTGTTCTTTTGTTTTTTAAAAACAGACTTTTCCATGTTTGTGCCAACTGTGAGCCACTGATAATGTGTGTGGCAGAGCAGGGGTAACAGAGCTAAAGCACTAATTTTTAGAAGTTTGCTGAAATGGTTGCATTCCTGTGTGTGGGTTGTGTCTGTGAGGACAGGAGATATAACTCTGGCTTTACTTTGTGTAAAATTATTTTGAATTCAGCCAAAATGGCACATGTAACTCTCTGTATCATGAAATCTTTGAAGGAAATGGGGGAAAGCTAGCACTTTTAAGACTTGTAATTTTTTTTCACCTCTATGTTTTCTATTTATTTAAAATTACATATTGCTGATAAAGGTCAAAGGTTCCATTAAAAAAATTAATCTCCACTTGACTAATGCTGCCTTTATTTAAGACACCTGTGTCTTCCTAGTCATTGTTAAAATGGTTAACTTGAAGTTCACTGATTCAGCTGCTACTGAACTCATCAGGAATCTGATACTGGGTGGTGGGGTAAGCAGAAACGATAATTTAGTTTGTTCTGGATTGACACATAAATCTTTTGTCACCAAGCACTCCAGTCTTCTAATGAAGCAGCTCTTTTCCGTAACCTTGTGATGATAATATTGCACAAAGTGAAGAATTTGGCTGGAAGTGGTGATTTATTCCCATTCCCACCATTCTGGTGGGAAGATAGTGGAATGATGGTGGAGCCATGTGTTTTCTCACTGGCCTTTTAGGTGCATCAGCATTCTCACACAGGCTTTGGAACAAACTTTGTTTTAGTGATGGCATTGTCTCAACAGCAGTTCAGCCTGGTGCTGACCTTGCCTTTCCTGTTCTGAGTGTTAAACCAGAGATTTAAACACCCCACACTGAAATCCCAGTCAGTGTTAGTTCTTGGTATGTTTGAGTGGGCACTAATTGCTAATTAATTTATTACAGAATTGGGCTGAGATAAGCCATGTGGTATTTTGAAGCCAGTTCAGAGAGGGGAAGGCAGCAGCTCCTTTAAGCCAGAATTTCTCTTCTCACACAGCCTCTTCCATCAACAAGGATATTTGCTTCCTTTCAGGAAAGGTGCTACTTTACTGTGCTGGAAAATAAAACCTTTCTCAGTCCCTGAATCTCCCCTGGATCAGGCATAAGCTTATTATCTGCCAACACATTTTCTGCTGAATCAGTCAAAAAATAGTTAATGTTTTTGAACATTCCAGTGAGATGAATGAGGCAATTCATACCTCTGAGCTATTGTTGCAGGGTTTTGTTCTTTGTTTCCTATTGTAAAATGTCTGGAAACACAGGAAGATGACAGTTGTATTGGTTAATATTTTAAAGACTTTCTTCAAATGCTCAAGGGCTAGAAACAATTTGAAAACAAAAGCCAAACTCCTTCCACACAGCTCAGGACAAGGGTGTGGTGTTATAATAAGTTACACAAAGCATGTAATCCTGGACAGCAACCTCTGAGCAAGCAAAATGTTAATTTACTGGACCAAAGCAACAAAAAACACCCTTCCCTTCAAGCAACATTTTCCTTCCATAGTGTGGTGCTGAGTAATTTCAAGATGTCTGGATTTTTTTTTTTTTTCCCCTAAAGCATCCACTGCAATTAGAGGTAAAAAAAGCACACATGTAAAGCCAGGTCTGGCTTTGTTAACTGAGCACTGAGGCCCAAGCTCCAGAGCTGGCTTGTGAGGGGATGGCATGGTTAATGAGGTTATATTAAGGCTTTATTGATTTGATTTTTGAGGTTTTGGGGTTGGTTTTTTTGATGTTGTTGTTAGTTTGTTTATTTCTTCCATTGTTTCTAGCTCTCCTTTATTCTAGTTAAGGGAAGATATTTATAGTGCTATCTCAAAAGTCGCTGGGCCTGCTTGGAGCATCACTGACCACTTTACTTTGGATCATTTTGGTGCTCCCCATCCTGACCGAAGGGTTTGATCCCTCTTCAGTAAATTTAAAATGCGGGCCGGAGGTGAGCACGGCCCCGGCTCCCACCGCAGCGGGCACAGGCACGGCTGGGAATGGCCCTCGGTGCTCAGAAGATGCTCGGCTTCCTAATCTCCCCCGCCCAGCCCCGGCCGTTCTATCTTTAACGCTTCCTGTCGGTGAGAGGAGCCGGCTCGAAAATGGTCGTGTTTCCTGGCGGGAGGCACGGCGGGCTCTGCGGCGCGTCGTGACCGTCCCTGCCCCGCCGCCCCACGCGCGCTGCCGGCATCGTGCGGGCTGCTGCCGCCCGGGACACGGCCCGGCCCCGGCCGTGCCGCGGGGGGAGCGCCCGGGGCTGGTGGAAACCTCTCCCACGGCCACGTCCAGAGCGGGAGGCTGAGGGGAAGGAGTGAAAGGAAGAATAACAGCTCCGGCATTTCCCCCTGCGGAGGGCGCGCAGGTGGCGGGGAGACAATAGCGACCCCCGCGCCCCGGCCCCGCCGCCGCTCCTCGGCAGGTGCGGCCGGGCCCCGCCGCCGCTTGTCCCCGAGCCCCGCGCACGGCCGGGGGCCGCCGCCTGGCCCAAGCCCCGCACAGGGGACCGGGGGTGTCCCGGGAGGGGCTCAGCCCCGGCCCCTTCCCTCCTGCCCCGCGCCGGCCGTGATTTCGTTGATTTTCGGGTTCCCGCGCGGGCCGGTCCCCAAACCCCTCCCCACCGCTGCCTTCAGGGCCGCGCTACCCGCGGCTGCCGGAGGAGCGGGTCTGGGACCCTCCAGCGCCTGCTGCCTTCCCCCTTTCCATGCCGGCAGCCTCTGGCATTTCGGGGAGCTTTTCAGGCGTCCCGTCGCTTTGCCATGGCCGCGCAGAGCACCGCGACCCCCGCCCCGCCCGCTCCGTCCCCACGAGCCGCTCCGGGGGCTCGGGGCTCTGGCCAGCCCGGGGATCTCTGCCCGCCCGGGCCCGGAGCCCGCCCGGCCGGGCTGAGCCCCTTCCCCGACGGGGCGCGCAGCCCGGCCCCGGCCCCGCCGGCTGCCCCGCGCTGCTGCCCCGCACTGCTGCCCCGCACTGCTGCCCCGCACTGCTCCAGGGCGAGCCAGGGCCTTTTCCCCCTTCCCCAAGCCCCTCTCCTCCAGGGTCCGCCGCTAACATCCCAAATTTCTCGAGGTGCCGGCTCGGTACCCGCTCCGCTCACCGTCCCCAGCATCCCCGGCTCGGCAGGGATGCTCGGCCTTTTCCCACCCCAGAACGGGAGACGGGACAGGGAGCTCGCCCCAGTTCAGCCCTTCAGCGAAAACACACAGTGCTGGGGGATTGGGGCCGCTTTTCTCCAAAACACCT